TTCATATCATTTGATTCATTGTTAAATATACTTTCATGTACACATATAGTTTTACATATTTCATAAATTTTTTTGAATAAGACGAACGGTCAAACATGTGCTAAAAAGTCAATGGTGTCAAACATTTTGAAACGGAGGGAGTACTTTTTATTCATCCAAAATATAATCATGTGAGATCTCCCTAAAGATTTAATTGATACAAATTCAACAGTTCAATCAAACCGTAAATTGGATAAGTAATTTGTGAGAAAAGTGATTTACAATTTGCTAATTAAGGGTATAGGAGAAGAGAGGGGTGAGAAGAGCTTGCATGCAGATGAAACATGAACAGCATGCATGAGGAGGCACCCCGGAGATTAAAAGCAATATGCATGCTCGGGAAGGGTATCCCATTTTTCTCTAAAATTCGTGCACCCAATTTGTAGTCGGGTAAAGATAATATGGTAATGGTTCCTTGTTAACAGGGAATAGATGTGTTTATCCTTAAACAGATATCACATAAAGAGCCTAATTATCATCGGAATTATATAATATTTGAATATTAGCCACCTCTACGACTACGAGACATATTTGAAGATATTCCAAGGCAAGACGTTCTTAAAATGTTTTTTTACAGAGAACATAATGGATTATTTAGTCTTCTTATTAATACTACCACATAACATTGTTGATGTTTCGATTATCAAAAACGAGCTTAGTGAATTTGACATTATATAAAAGAAAAGGAAATAAATTGACATGTTTGGGTGCCAGTTAGCTGGCATGGGAGCAAAGCTTAAATTATCTCTAGTTATTTATAAGTCTCCCTCTAAATCTTGTATATTGGATGCATATAATTTATAGGGTATGTATTGGCTGTGGTTTTTAGGACTCGTTGCAAAAGTGAGTGTTAGGCTTGTCTCCTAAATTCTTATAAGAATTATTTAAATTTGGTATAATAATTATTTAAATATGAGTGAAACTTAATATGAAATATATTAAGGTTTTGTTCTTTGCTCAGGGTTCCAACGCCTCTCTCTCGTCTTCCGCGCGCACGCTTTCCAAATTGTTAAACGGTACATTTTTTTGTAAAAATTTTCTATATGAAAGTTGCTTAAAAATCAAATTAATACATTTTTGAAAAAAATAGCTAATACTTAATTAATCACGTGCTAATAGTCCGCTCCATTTTCCATGCGTACTGTTCCGGTTGGGAACCAGATATGCTGAACACAGCCGCAAACAAGTTAAACCTTACTCTTGGTGGTTTCCTAGCTCCGCCCCTGCATGTCTTCATACAGAAATATAGAAATGATGGTTATACAGCTCTTCACTCATAGATAAAGATTTAGAACAATAAGATTTGCTTTCAATAATGTCTCGTTTCTATGATGCAGATGAATGTGCTGCGAACTCTGTAGTAGTTTGGCTCTAATTTCTGATGGAGCAGAGGCTAGGATCGTTTTCCCATTATCTTAGAAAAAAGGAAGAAGAAAATTAGCTGGACTGCTCCTGTGAAGGCCTTGGCCTGGTGTGTGGGCTGAGAAGACAGGAAGGTCAGACTTTGGGCCATGGAGTCACCTCACCACAGGCTTTGAAATGCATCTTGTTCTCCTATCTTCACACGAGTTGCATAGTATAGATGGCTTCAATGGTTGGAAAGGGGAAATGGCCAGCTCATCCAATGATTGAGAAAGGAAGATGACATGCCTTCACCAAGAAATAGGTAATTAAAATTAATTACAGTTAATACGCACAATTTTCTCCTTTCTTTTTTTATTTGGGATGTTTTTAGAATGTGATAATTACTTTTATAACGCTGCATTAATATAGAGTGGCTATACAATGGAAATTTGCTTCTTCTTTTTTTCGGGGAAAGGGTGATATATTACTCAATCACACCAAGAGTGTATGGGATAAAGTTACGGTTATCACCGGTCAAAAGGCGGTTAAAGACTCTCACCTACCTTTGTTGGCTAAAATATGACAATCTCTACTTTGGATACGATTAATTTTATTTATTACTATCTCCCTACTTTCGTCATAAGATCTCTTACTTCTCTGATTAAAAAGGCGAGTTCAGACATTATCTTCCCTTCGGAACGGATCAGTTGCACCAGCTCTAAAAAATCTGTTTCCACAATGATTGGCAAAAGTGTCCATTGCAATGCCATGACAATGCCTTCCCTGCAAGCAACAATTTCAGTTTCCAGGCCACTTGCATTTCTGCACATAAAACCACAAGCATCGAAAATTATATTCCCAGAGCTATTTCTGAGAACTGCACCAATGACAACTGTACCATCCCGTGGTTCATATGAGCCATTGACGTTTAACTTCATCCAGCCTACCTTTGGTCTTTCCCATATGCAGGTTTTAGGAATGTTGTGGGATTCTTGGTATGAACCTTGGAGCCCCATATGGAACCACATGTTTTCCTTTGCTCAAGTTAGCAGTTGGGTGTTGCTGGACTTCTAACATGATGAGATGTAACTAGAAATGAAGCGTTGGGATGCATCTGCTGGTGCCGCCGGTTTCCCATGCATAATCTCATTTCAAACATACTAGATACGCCGCCACATCATCATCAACAAAACCGCATGATCTTTCATTGATAGGATCTCCTTGGCACCCTCATCACCCCCATCTCCGATAGCTCGTGTCTTGGGAATCGCAACCATCTCCCATTGCCTCTCAACCATGCGGTTTCGCTCACCCCGCCATTAGTTCCAAGCATCTTTACGCTATCCGATGGCCACCCATTGTCGACCTACTCCCGGCCAATCCTTTAAGAGCTCGAAAAAAACCTCCTCCTAAACTCCCATTCCAATCCTAATCTGGCACATCTATAATCTTCTCACCACCACGTCGGTTCTAATTGTTATTGGGTGAAAATATGAATGAGCAACTTTGCCATATATAGTCATGAAGAAGAGGAGATAAAATAGAAGTGGTAGTCCAAAGTGTAGGATCGAATGCAAGAACCAAGCCAACCAAGGAGATGAATGGTTGGAATACCAAAACCCAAAACTTTTAACGAAAATAAAAGATTACCCTCAAACTTGATAAACTTGCACTGGTCGCATCACCAGATTGCCACCGATCTGACCGCGGTATGTACACCCGTCGGTCTAACTTCCACCTTGCTGCTGGATGGTCTGCCTCCCTGCCAGAGATGTGACCGACGCCACGCCGCTGATTAGACCACCCAATGAACTCTAGTCAAACTGTCGGGATCTAGAAAAATACGTATCGACAAAACTCTCAAAACTAGATCAATTTCATTGCATCAATGTGTTTACAAAGTGTATCTAAAGCACTCCTCTCTCAACTCATAAACTATGATTAAAACCTCGAAGCAAACCCTAACTTTTCTCTCCAAAAAGTTAATATATTCCAGCCTCAATCCCTCATCTATTTATACCCACAACGTGACTGCCCCTAGCCACGAATCTAGCTAGAACTAGTACTGCTAATCACATAGAAAACATACCAAACCGAGAAAACAACATCCCCATACAACTCCACGCTTCAATCTTTCCAAACTTGGACTCCAATCCAAATTTGACTAATCTTTCTATACGCACACAACGCCACGTGTATGCCATATGGAAACATTCACCTCCACGTGCATTGTCCTGAGTATCCCACGTGATATCCTTGACCGTCTGGGCCGCAACTTCTCCCATGCATAGTTTTTATCCATCACCGGCTATATTCACATGACCTGAAGCAACACCTGCACATGAACAAAAAAGAAACTCCATATCCGAGAACAAGTTCGCACCAACTTGACTAGCACCCAAATAGTATCACATACGAATAGAAAACCATCTAGAAGTCATAAACAATTAAACATGAAGCAATCTAAAAATCCCACGAAAACAACAAGAAACCGACTCCCTCCCGGAGTCTACCGGTCTGACCGTCGGGTAACCCAGTTAGACCACACCGACACAGTCGGTCTGACCGGCGGCGGCATCTATCAGGTCTGACTGGCCTCACATTGTCGATTACTGTCTGAAAACACATCATTGTATTTTTTTCCCACAAATACTTACCTTTAACAATTTGTTCATCACATGATTTCACACATATGTAGAAGATGGCCTTGTTCGAGAAGCTCTTGGCAGCTACAGCTTCTCATAAAATCTCTCACTTTCCAAACAACCTTGGTTCTCACAGAGATTATGAGAATCTATAATGCAGAAAATCAACTAGATGCTAAAAATCAACTAGATGCTATGAATCTAGTTTATTTAGATTCTCACCAGTTGGCTACTCGCTATTTGCTTATTAGAATCTAAAGCTTGCCCCAAAAGGCAGACAACTCCGTCGCTGTTACTTCCTCTATGCCAAAACATAAGCATTTTGTAGGTTGGCACGGGTATTAAAAAAGTAGGTGAGAGTGATTGGGGGAAATGTGTGATTGGTTGAGAAGAGAAAGTAGACGAATGATAATTATTATGATTGGCTGAGAGGAGGTAGGTGGAGAAATAACTTTATTTTGGGACAAGATAATATGCTAGAAATAGCTATATTTTGGGACGGAGCTAGTAGATTTTAATCCCATAGTTGTAAGATGTGACATAGATATAAAAAAATTGTAGTTACCTAAAATGACGAATAGAAAAGTTGGAAAATTGGTACTAATGGCTTGTTTTTTTCCATATTACTTCTCTATCTCCTCACCTCACCAGCAACATGATAAGGTCATTAGAAACAAATTTCCTTTGCATAAAGAGATGATATATATTGAAGAAAAAATACAGAAAAAGCAAGACATGAAGCAACAAACAAAAAAAAAAGGAAATAGTGTGTTGTCTTACCCTAAAAAAAAAATCCAAACCGATCCCTCTCTTCTTCTAGTCGTCTCTCACTTTTTTTTTGTTTTTTGCTTTTGCTATTATTTAGTATATATAGAACATAACAAAAGGAAAAGGAAAAGAAAAGATAATTGAGCCCATTTCCAATAACACTATCTGATAGGAGTAGTCAAACACCCCCACCACACCCTCTCTCTCTCTCTCTCTCTCTCTCTCATCAGACAAGCAAAAACAACAACAAACAAGAGAAGAAGAAACCCTTGTTCATTCCTCCTCGCCTCGCCTCGCATCTCGGCTCGCCGCGCCGTCAGATCCCTCGCCTCCGATGGCGCACCGCCGCCTCTGACCAACCACCGCCCCCACCGCCGCCCACATGCCGCCGCCCATGCTCGCGGATGCGGCGGCGGCGGCGCCCTGCTCCTCCTCATCATGCTCATCCAACTCCAGCTCTTCCTCCTCCTCCTCCGCGATCTGGTCGCGCCGCCGCGACGAGATCACCTTCGACCGCCTCGACAAGGTATCTCCCCACGCCCCACGCCCCCAAGGACTCAGCTCGCCTCGATCGGATCTGGGGGCTTCGCCGTCTAGCTCACGCGGATCTGTCTGACTTTTTCACTGTGCCTCTCGCGTTGCCTAGCTCCACGCCCGCATGTCCGTACCAAGCTTGGGGTATTGGATTTGATTGGTCGTCGATATGGGATGATGCTTACACGGCCACGCTTCCCGGTTGCTGTATATCATTCATTAGATTGTGGACTTGCTCGCAGTCGGCGTGAGCTCCCCATGGGGGCTATTAAGTGCATTCGCCAGGCGAAACGGCTGTATTTCACTGCCTGCCTTAACGCGGATATGCGAATTATCCGATTGCTTTGTCCTCTTTCAACGATTGGCCGCACTTACTGCCGGTGCTTCTCAGCTAGCTGACTGGGCCAGTTAGAGCAACCTGAAACTGTGATAGGGTAATTATTGGCCCTTTACTAAGGGCCAGTCATGGACTGTTACCAGTGGTGGCCTAGCCGTTACGCTTCTCTTCCGTCCATCTCACCATCGACTGTACCTTACTACTGAAACCTTTGATTTGGGGTTTGGGTTACGATCGTAGGTATGTGCTCCGGATTTCCATTTTCCTTGGTTACTCTCTGCACTGCTGAGGCGCCACTGAAATGATTCGATTATAACCTACTATGACTTGACCTTAGTATTTTACTAACCAAAAGTCATGTAGTGATTCATGCTATGTGCTATTCTCTTATATGGAGTTCTACCCATACGGCTTGATTCTTATAGTCTGCATTTGGCAATTCATAATTTATTGCCTAGACCTTTAAATGTGATGCTTATTTTTCCTAGAATTATGAGTTACCTATTCAAGAGAAAATCATTACTTCGTATACCTTACAAAGCGGTCCTCCCTGATATCTCAGTACATGCTTATACTTGGTAATGTAAGGAGTAGGTGCTGTTTAGTCCCTTTCACCTCAAATTAGTATCTGTGCTTCTTGCTCTTCGCTCAAATATTCTCTACCCAGGAATCCAAAACATTTGGGTATCAACATATACTCCAATACATTTTTCTTTGTTGCGTGAAAAATACTAAGTCTCTAACTGCTTTGGTTGGATCTGATGAATTAGATCATTTCAATCTTTTATTGGAGTAACAGTTGCTGTATTGTGCTATACAATGATAGACCTTGGTTCTCTCTGTTTAGAATGATCATTTTTTTTTCCTATCATTCTTTCGAATTGGCCTTGTTGTAGATTGAGTTGCTATAATGTTAATGGCACCAAGAGTAGAGAATGCATAGCACCTTCTTTGTTTGTAATATATTATCATCTTTATATTTGTTTATTTTGGTTTGGGAACTTAAGGCCATCATGACTCCTGACTTAAATGGCGTAAATGAACTTGCCTTACACCTCACATTCTATCATTCTATGGAAGAATGAGGAGTCTCTACCCACAATTCCGAACTTGTTTCTTTATGCTATAGATGCTGAACAATATGTAATTTGCAGACCCACCAAACAGTTTGTCTTTTTTGTAGAAATGTCACACTTTGATGGTCTATGCTGGATAATGTTATACATGTATTAAGCTGATAGTTGATGTTTATATTATTCATTGCACTATATTTTTCCTAGTTTATTTGAAAATGTTTACTATCATCTCTCCTGCAAGAACAGGTTACTTGTTTAAGCTTTCTTGATTTGTTATTGGAGTAATGGAAGATCTAAAAAATCATATTTTACTAACAGAACCGATCATTTTTATTGATGTGAGTTCCATTTTTTCCCAGTTCTGGAGTGCCTTGTCGCCTCAAGCACGGCATGAGCTCCTCAGGATCGATAAGCAGACTCTCATTGAGCATGCACGCAGGAATTTGTACTGTTCAAGGTGCAATGGGCTGCTTTTAGAAAGTTTCACACAAATGGTCATGCATGGGAAGTTACTGCAACAAAAAGGTCCAGGTGTTGTACAAGATGATTCTTGGGGAGGCCTTTCGACAACAAAGGATGGCCTCCTGACTCTTCTTGACTGCTTCATAAATACAAATTCCCTTCATGTACTCCAGAATGTAAGCCTGAATAACACCTTATGGTTTTATACTTTTCTATTTTTCTACTTGTTCTTGTTGGGTTAGCAATTTATTGAGAACACTACTGAAGTTTTCTCTAGACCATGCCTGTTCATTTAAAAGAATATTTGCATGATGCTGGGTTAGGGTGCACTAATTTAACCATTCTAATTTTCTCCGAATTAATTTGACTCTTTTAATAGATATTTGACAATGCACGGGCGAGGGAGCGTGAACGGGAAATGCTTTATCCTGATGCATGTGGTGGAGGAGAAAGAGGGTGGATTAGCCCAGTAATAGCTAATTATGGCAGGGGGCATGGAACACGAGACACATGTGCTTTGCACACTGCACGCCTTTCTTGTGATGCTCTGGTGGGTTACTGGTTTGACCTGTGTGAAGAAACTAGATCATCTCTTCTGCGGATGAGGGAAGAAGATTTCATTGAAAGACTTATGCATAGGTGAGTGCAACCAAGTACAGTTTGTTTGATACAAGATTAAAGATCATGAAATTGATGCACAGTTAAGCATGTGAACAAATCTATCTAGCTGGAGTAAGAGTATAATAGCCCAAAAACTTTATTTGCTTTCCCCAGTAAGGAATCAACTACTGTCAACACAAGTATGCTATCATCAATTGGGATGATTTTGTGTACTAATGCCTCCATCCATAATTGTGTGGGTGCATGGCGCATTTTTCCAATGGCGTTGTTCACAAATGCAGGCCATATCTAACATTCCAGCCTCCTTGCATGCTTCCATTGAATGTTGTGCTTAGAGCTAATATATTATGGTAATTTAGTCCTATCCAAAACCTCCTTTGTACATGTCCAAGACAAAATTTCCCCCTACATTTGTGATTGAAGGGAGGTTTTTTGTTACATCGCTTTATCTATTTGCTCCTTGATCTGATGAGGGCGTCTTTTGAGTTTTTAATGTTTGGGGGAGTACTATTAGTCGTTTTTTTATTAGTTCTCGTTACTTATAAAGCAATAATGCATCATTGCACTAGGAAAACGAAAGCTTTATTTACAAATGGTTAGATTTGTATGGTTCATGTAAGTGCTATGGTACCTTGGTGTGCAATTTTGTGTACTTTGGTAGAAGTCGATGTTTCTCTGTGATTCAAAAAGGATATTTGTTTTTTTTCCTATTCAAATAGTTACTGCTTACCAGCAGTTTCTAAATCGGATTATGAGGATAACTACATACTCGCTCCGTTTTTTAATAGATGACGCCGTTGACTTTTTCTCACATGTTTGACCATTCGTCTTATTCAAAAAATTTACGTAATTATAATTTATTTTGTTATGAGTTGTTATATCACTCATAATACTTTAAGTGTGATTTATATCTTATACATTTGCATAAAATTTTTGAATAAGACGAATGGTCAAACATGTGAGAAAAAGTTAACGGCGTCATCTATTAAAAAACGGAGGTAGTAGTATAGTTGCAATAATATGTTTTTTATATCCGGACTTTGTGGGAAACTTTTGGTCTGCTATGTTCCGAGTGACTGCATTTCACTTAGGGTATGCTTGGTTCATGGCCAAGGTTGGATAGGATATGGCCATCCATATTTTCAGGGATATGGTGATCCAACTTTTTGTTTTGTTGCGTGGATATGGCCATCCAGTTTCTTGTATGATTAGATGGATGAGGATGGATGGATTGATAACAATAAACTATTAATTAATAAGAAAGTATATTAATTATCATTAATCTTAGCATATTCTATACTAATTAACAACAAAATAGATTAATTGTATATACTCTCTCCCTTCCAAAATATAAGGCACAACCATCCTTAACCCAAAGATCAAGAAACAATTATTATCACCTCCTAGTTTGGATCACCCTAATAAATATAATACACCCAATAGAATTAGAGATCTCGAAGGTGGAGGATTTAAAAAATAATAATTTAGTGGAGAGGAGTTACTAATTGCATGCATGCATGCATGCACGCCTTATATTATGAAACATCTAAAAAAGTAGTTGTGTCTTATATTATGGAATGGAGGGAGTAAAGCACTAAACCTCAAGACCAAGAATAATTTAAATCGCATCAATCAAGATACCATGCACACATTCTCCCACAATGCATGCATCGATTAAAACACCATGCCAATTACACCCTAGCATTCACACATTCTCCCATGCTGCATTAATTCTATTTCGATGAAATCCATGTCCATGCAGTTATATGATGATCAATTTGAGAGATTTTGAATTTCATTATATGATGATCAATGTGGGAATGAGGGAGTAATTAACAACAAAAGTTATTAATTATTGCTAATAAATTACTACTACCTCCGTCCCAGAAAGACTGCAGTTTTGCATTGTTTATGTCCAACGTTTAACCGTCCGTCTTATTTGAAAAACTTTTACGATTACTATTTTTATTGTTATTAGATGATAAAACATGAATAATACTTTATGTGTGACTATTTTTTTTTATTTTTTCATAAACTTATCAAATAAGACGGACAGTCAAACGTTGGACACAGAAACCCACAACTGCACTTAAAATGGGACGGAGGTAGTAATGAATTGAGATTAGCAAAGGTGGGCCAAATGAGCTCATCCAGCATCTTCGTGGAATATTCCCTCTCCTGACCACCCCATCCACCCTTGCCCACCAAGGCACCAACCAAACACACTCAAAAGTTGGATCGCCAACTCCTATCTAAGGATATCCCTCCAACCACCCTTAGTATATGTGGGATAGTTACGACTTGTGATTGGAAGAATGCTTAATAGACTTTTATGCTCTTCACAGGCTGGTTTGGTGTGTAATATTTAGCTAATTCTGTGGATGAATATCTGGACAGGTTCGACAGCAAAAGATTTTGCAGAGATTGCCGAAGGAATGTCATTCGTGAATTTAAGGAACTGAAAGAATTAAAGCGTCTGCGACGGGAACATCACTGCACTAGCTGGTTCTGCATTACTGATACAGCTTTCCGGTGTGAGGTAAGGATGGTGCTCCTTTCTATATGCACTCTCACAATTGTTCTTTCTTTGTTTCTGCTTTCTCTTCTTCGAATACACTCAGCTAGCAAAACCTTATAAGGGTAAAACTATGGAAAATAAGACTAAAAGGAGTTGCATTCCCATTTTTAATTGCACAGTAGATGACATGGAGTTTGCCTGTAGGTGGTTAACATCTGGCATTTTATATTTTCAGGTGTTTGAGGATGCTGTCTTAGTTGATTGCCGCCAATCTTTCTTGGATCAAGATAAGTCCTATAATCGTTTTGAGTTTGCTGTTGGAACAGAAAAAGGGAAATCTGATATACTAGGATTTGAAGCTGTGGGGATGAATGGGCAAGTGCACAGGAAGGGCCTTGATCTTGACCAGTTTGAAGATTATTTTGTTACTCTGAGAGCGCATTATGCGGATAACAAGAACACAGATTTCTATGTGAAGGCCCATGCCTTGAAGGGCCAATCATGTGTTCACCGCAGGCTGATCGTGGGGGATGGGTTTGTGACAATTACTAAGGGAGAAAGCATTCAAAGTTTCTTTGAGCATGCTGAAGAAGCTGAGGAAGAGGATGTAAGCTCATTTCTTAAGTAATAAGATTAGGATGATCAGAACATTTGTTAGTCCATGTTGATGGTCTGCCAATTCATATAGTCTAATTTGTTATACATGAGCAGGAAGATGATGCTATGGACAGGGATGGAAATGATACTGATGTCGATGGTGTTCATCCACAGAAGCATGCTAAGAGTCCTGAACTTGCCAGAGAGTTTCTTTTGGATGCTGCTGCAGTGATATTCAAAGAACAGGTAGTGTATATCATGCAATTTCTAAGTCCTAATCACTAAAAGATACATGTTTTTTTTGTGATATTAGCTGTATATATAGCAAACACTTTTCTAAATTTATGATCTGCGTCTGAAGTATCATTGTTGTTGTATACAATATCGATGTCTTCTGTGTAATATATATACTAGGATCTTTAGCATATGACTATCGCTTCAGTGTCATTAAGATGTTTAGCATTTACTGCTAAGTTATGAAAATATGACATGGTATTCTAAAAGAACTTTTTTTAATATAAAACTACCCTTTTCAAAGGATGATTTTCTTTGTGGTCTAGATGAACTAATCTTTATTCATACTCATCACAATATATGTAATATATGTATTGTATTAGAATAGCCAACATAGTTGATTAAATCATGCGACATAGTATGTTCTTAACTAGTTCATTGAACTGTTTATGACATTAGATGATTGTACTCACTCTCCAGTGTATAGATAGATTGTACTCGCTCTTCAATGTACCAAACATTCATGGTCAATGTAATCAGCACACGTGTCAAGCTATTGTTGTTTCCTCTTTTCTTTTTAAGATAGTCGTACTTAAGCCTGCAGCATCATCTCGTGTTGACATAGGAAACATTGTTTTTCCTGTGAAGGTTGAAAAATCTTTGAGGGAAGCCACGGCACAACAAAATGCACATAGCGTATTTGTGTCCCTTGCATTAAAATTGTTGGAAGAGCGGGTTCATGTTGCCTGCAAAGAAATAATTACATTGGAAAAACAGGTGAGCTACACATACTTTGTTGTGTAGAAGAAGAGAGAGGGAGCAACTTTTGTTAGGATTTGTTGTGCCTTAGTTGACATGTAGTAAATTCGATTAACTTGCCTTGTAGACCAAGCTTCTTGAGGAAGAAGAGAAAGAAAAGCGTGAAGAAGAAGAGCGCAGGGAGAGGAGGAGAACAAAGGAGAGAGAAAAGAAGCTTAGAAGAAAAGAACGTTTGAAAGAAAAGGAAAAGGAGAAAGAAAAGATACCAGTTCAATTGAAACCTTACATTGGTACCTCGTCATCACCCCTGAGCAACTCAGCAACACCAATTAATGATCAGTCACCAGATATTGCCCACTCCAAATACTCAGCTAGCGATGATGAAGATAAAGATAGTATTGTGGTCACGGAATCGTTCTCTCCTGATACCTGTGTTGATCAATCTCTAACAAGGGAAAGTGATGGACAAAGCAATGAGTTTCATTGCAGTACAACACTGGAATTTATTCCATCAGATTGCAATGGTTCTTTCATGTGTGAACAATCTACATCCTCAAGGAGGAAACTCAGATTTAGAAGGGATTCCCTTCAAGAACAGACCACTGGTTTTTGGTATGAAGATTGCCAAGATGACACTGGGGGTGTTGGAAATATTCACTGGCAATCTAGGGAGAGGGCAAGGAATGCAGGTAGAGGCTGCAACTCTTTGTTCAGTGCGAATAACCGGACAAGAGAAAGGTATGAGTACAATGCCTGCAGTTGTGGCCAGCAGGAAGATTATGGGTATTTTTCTCCAACAGCTAGATCAAGTAGAGAGATGAAGATGTCCAGGAAAACAATGGTTGAGAAGCCCTGGTTACAGTACCGCAGGTGCTATCCATTGGATAGCTTCATAGTGTCAAAAGGAAGCCGAGTTGGTAGTACGCCAAACAAGAATGCAGCTCCAAAACAAGTATGGGAGCCAATGGATGCTAGAAAGAAAGCTAGCTTAGGGAGTTCGAATGGTTCTTCTGAAACAGTTAGCGGTGTTGATCGATCCAATCAAGTGGGGTGTTCAAAGGATATTGTCAATTGTAGCCAAATACTTGGCTCGGAGCATGAAGAACTAGCTGAAGCTTAAGCTTCTTCAGATCTATCAGAGGGCAAATCGATAACAGATCAGCCATGTGAAAGCAGTGAAAATAATCAAGCTGCTTGCAATAGTGAACCTCCTGTGGTGAACAAGCCAGACAGCTGCTTTACCAAAGATGGTGGTCAGACAGCAAACATGACCAGTTCAGATAGCTCTTCATGTCTAAGCGAGGGAGACAGAGATAGTAGCATGAGCAGCATGACCTCATTGAGTGCTCAGAATCCGGAATCCTCGTCTACTTCTGATTCAGAAGGATCTTCAGAAAGGAACAATAGCAACCCAGGCAATCCACCAACCAAGAACGGTTCGCGTTCATTACTTGAAATGTGCGCAGGAAATGGTTTCAGAGAATACCAGCCACAGAATATTCACCCTTCTGATGGCAATCAATTTGGGTTTGGTGTGACCCCTTTCCAGGAGCAGCTGTTACATCAGCAAAAGATTCATGCAGCTCCATACCCGTCAACCTTGATGGGTTTCCATAATCATCACATGTCAGTTCCAACAAATGGATACCTAGCATACCCTCAACCTGGTCATTTCTACCCAAATGCTGTTGGATATGGTGTGGCTGGAAACCAATGTGTTGACTTCCCAATGCAGTACAGTAATGTGCATCCTTATGCAGGTCCTGAATTTGGTTATGTGCCTGCACAGCCAGTCCATAAGACTCCGGTGAACTTTAATGCCATGGTGCCAACTGCTGCGCTCTTTAGAAATGGAGCGCCAGAAGTCATAAACCCTGTCATTGTAAAACCAGACAGGCAGCATCGCCATACCCTTCCTCCTGAGCCGAAGCGGGTGGATCCTGATCCTCAGAACGGCTGTTCAGAAGATAACAAGAAGCCGCAAGATGGCTCTGTGCCTTTCTCGTTGTTCCATTTCAACCTTCCCATATCCTCGCCTGCCCAGGCATCATCTGAAGACGAGGTGAGTGGAGGATGTTTGGCGTCGAGATCGCCAACTCCAAGTGCTCAAAAAGCTCAGCCTTGCTCAAGGGAGGAGACCAACATAAAGGAGTACAACCTGTTCTCTGCAAGGACTGGAGTGGAATTTCCCTTCTTCTAGACAACAGACGCGCCTATTATTTGGCACAGAACAATACATAGCGAGTGATTTGTATTCTCCAAAAAAACAAAAACAAAATAAGTTACCTCGAGGTTTTTACCGTGTTCCCTCGAATATTTATTTATTTCTTCTTCCATTTGTTTTGGTTGCCCTTGTGTGTAAGGAAATTGCAAAGATAGTGAGTGGTATAGTTTCTAAATTTTGAGATATGTTAAATGTTTGTTGTCCCGTTTTCCACCGTTGCTTTTCTACCGTATTACTATGTTTGTTCCAGATTTTCAGCAAAGGTGGTACGTAGATTGGTGGACGCTGTTGACATGTTTTGCTGTGATAAATGGACGCATCAAGTTCAATTGGTGGGTACCAACCATCACACAATCTTCCATCGATCGCCGTGAATTTATCTGCTGAATGGTTTTCTTTTTTTTTTTTGAGAGGGTACAATTTAGGACGCTCACGAACACACCACATCACACGCTTGCGCATCCCTAACACGCTAGAATTGAGATTGGAGACGTGGAAACGTACAGTCCCATAAACATGTGTACCCTCCCGGTGCGAAACCTGCGCCGAGTAGCGCTAGAACGTGGGTGGTGAGCACTTCACCGAGCCATCGGCTCGTTCGCATCTGCTGAATGGATTTTGAAGTTGAAAGGTGCTGTTCATGGCAGGTCATCAATCACCGTGATTTTGGTTGTGATCTACTTCCTCCGTCCCATTTTAAGTGCAGCTATGGTTTTCCGTATCCAATTTTGATCATCCATTTTATTTGAAAAAATTTAAAAACTTAAGTCACGAGTAAATTACTATTCATGTTTTATGATCTCACAACAACGAAAAATACTAATTATAAAAAAATTTCAAATAAGACGGACAATCAAAATTAGGCGCCAAAACTTATGGTTGCATTTAAAATGGGACGGACTGACGGAGGGAGTATTGGCTATGAAATATATCTAAGCACGCAAAGTGGCAGCCTCCGAATAGACCATTTTTACGGAGAACCTATGTACAAACCATAAAAGTAAACTATATGTGGATCCGTGGGTCTGTTCAGTTGTATCCGATCCCTAAATATATTTGAGCTATGCTCCGGTGCTTTCTAGTGGCCAGTATTGTTATGGATAAATTAATAATTTACTAATATAATAATTAGAAGTTACTTTATCATTTATGTGTATTCCCGGCTAAATCGATATATAATTATCTATTGCGCTAGCATCGCTCATATTTCATCGAAAAAGCTAAAAAAGGAGAAAAAAAAGATTAGTCACTGCTAAATGACGATTAGTCATTTCTAACAATAATGTTCATCCATGTTTTTACTACCGCTAACTGGGATGATAATACAAATAGATCTAAAGCCTTCGATCAAATGAGATCAACGGTTTAGATTGATTTCTACTACCAGTAAAGAGCACCGTAGTGAGGATAAAAAAACATCATTTTACAACATCTCAATATGGAGCTTAGCTAAATTGATTGTAGCGTGTTTATTTTGCTGGTTTGGACTAGACGAGTTAGAGATGGCCAAAAATGTACCAAAAACCGAACAAGAGTGTCTTTCCCTTCTTTCTATTGTACTTCGGTTTTGGGGCCTGTTCACTTTGATGCCATTTTCAATCTTACCAAATTTTGGTAAAGTTGCCAAAAAAGTGGCTACATTTAGTTTGCTGCTAAATTTTGGTAACTATATAAGAAATCCTGTCAAAATTTTAGCAAGTTGCCAAAATTAACTATGCCAAAATTTTGGCATTACCAAAATTTGGTAAGGTTTTTTTTGGAAAATGAACAGGCCCTTGGTCTTTCAGAAGTTCGTTATTTAGTCTTTGGCTCAGTTTGTGACTTCTGGAAACAAAACTACATATGTAAAAACCCGCTTTAGCCTCATCAATTCAAGCCCTATATATGTTGGCAAGGTCCGTTACATCCCTACGTTGGCATATGCCTAATCCATAACTTTGACAGACTTACCGTATGAAACGGAGGTAGCACAAAATTTTCAACGTATGTACGGCTATCATCTATCTTCTATCTATCTATTATCTATTATTATATACTAAAAATCCATTAAACTTCCTACAAACGCTCTCAAGCCATCACATGGCACTTCTATAAACGCTCCTAGACCGCCACGTAGCAATGTCTAATCTCACCATCGATTTTCACTTAAATCGGTGGACCCAATAATTTAGACCATTATATTAGATTAGATACTAAAAATCCATTAAACTTTCTACAAACGCTCTCAAGCCGTCACGTGGCGCTTCTACAAACACTCTTAGACCGCCATGTAGCAATGTCTAATCTCACCGTCGATTTTCACTTAAATCGGTGGACCCAATAATTTAGACCATTAGATTAGATTAGACGTATTTTATTTAAAAGGAAACGAATAACATACTGTTGGGCGGAAAAAGAACGGGCGGAAAAAGAACGGAAAACATAAGTACTCCATAAATACTTAAGTACGACTAAAAAACAATCAAGTTTACATAATGTTGATCGAAGAAAAAAAGACCTACGCACTGACTTGCTTAAAATAAATAAAGCCAAAAACAACATAAGTACTTAGTACCATTGAAAAAATATAAAAAACAACAAAGCCAAAAAAAAATATACGTACATAATACCATTGAAAAAACCGATGATCTTTATATATAATTTTCTATTATTTAAATATAAAATATAACACTCCATAAATTTAACCAAATATTACCGTTGGTTTTTCACTTTTTCAATTTTGACGTAAACTAAGCACACTCCAAAAGACGTACAAGAATCTATCTTAGCAAGTTGATTGAAAGGCACGGCAAGTGGGACTGCCTAGACATCCGTTTACTTCTGCAGTAATATGCAGTTTTACGGGCACCAACACATACATAATTTGTTCAAGAAAAAAACATACATAATCATACTTACTGCAGTAACATGCAGTACATTTTCTTATTGCAATACCACACTATTAACACATAGGATGAGGCACACTATGACAGCAACACACTATATATACTATATACTGTACATGCAGTAACATGTAGTACTTTAGGCAGTTGGCACGACGGCGACAGCGGTGCTGGCGGCGTCGACGGGGTGTACCGTGCGAGCCCTCTTCCCTGCCGCCCACCACCAGGAAGCGGCCTTCCAGCCGGCACAGCAAACAAGAGTAACTGCAGCGAGAAGTACGACGATGACCACAATCAAACATGAAAAAATCATTATTTAGTAATTCCGAAAGAAAAGAATATATGAAGAACTAGGACTTGAACGTATGACCTCCTAGCTGACTAGCTGAGGAAAACATATTTTCTCGTGGCTAATGATTTAGTACAGATGATCTTCTTGAACCTTTGATCGTTTAAGACTCATCGTCATTATTACGGGTTTTTATTCTAAATACTAAGGATAAAGATAAAGAAGAGATAAAATCCAACCAATCTAAAAAATAGATACTCCATCCGTTTCATATTATAAGTACTAGTCAATTTTTTTTAAGTTCGACTAAATTTTTAGAAAAACATAGGCCTTGTTCAGTTGGGGAAATTTTTGAGTTTGGTTATCACATCAGATATACGGATACACATATGAAGTATTAAACATAGTCTAATAACAAAAACAAATTACACATTCTGCTAGAAAACTGCGAGATGATTTATTAATCCTAATTAATTTATCATTAGCAAATGTTTACTATAGTACCACATTGTTAAAACATGACGCAATTTGGCTTAAAAGATTCGTCTCGCACTTTACACGTAATATGGGTAATTGGTTTTTTTCTACATTTAATACTCTATGCATTTGTCCAAACATTCAATGTGACCACGTGAAAATTTTTGTTCTGGGAACTACACAAGGCCATACTAGTATTTTCAACACAAACTAACATGAAAATATATTCAATGTTAGATTTAATGATATAATTTCATATTTTAGATGTTGTTAAAATTTTTATAATTTTGATCAAACTTAACAATTCAAATGTCTTATAATATAAAACAGAGGGAGTACTAACATTACAAACATGCTCCAACTCACCGCCGATAATCTTCATCAGTAGTAAGTACTAACAAACATTCAAAAGACACCACCGATAATCGTCATCAGTAGTAAGCCCTAACAAACATTCATAAGAATCAGGGGCGGATCTAGAGTGTAACAAGCGGAGCCCTTGGCCCCCACTCAATTTTGCAGCGAGTGGGGGCAAATGCCCCTTTAACACTTTTTACTTCCTTAGTCTACCTAAGCGGTAGATCCTTAGCCCCCACTTATACTATTTTCTGCATCCGCCCTTGAAAAAAATCAGTCAACGGGGACGCGGCGCATTATTTTAGACCATTAGATTAGATGTATTTTATTTAAAAAACTAATACCTTATTACTCTATGTACATATACAGGAGATTAAATAACTGTTGGCTAAAAAATACAAAAAATAATACATAAGTAGTCCATAAGAAGGTACGTCCAAGAGAAAGAAATGAAGCTTATCGACTGACCAGCGGAAGAAAAAAAATATGCGCACGGACTTACTATAAAAACAATACAACCAAAAAAGTATGTATCATTAGAAAATGATCGATGGTATTTTGAAATAGTATTTTATACTATTTAAAGATAAACATATTACTCTACAAATTTAAGTAAATATACTTAGTTAAACTAGATTTATATTATAAATACGAGATATCCAATCAATGATCTTTAAATGTTCTACTTAACTTACGAGGCTAATATATATAATAACTAATGCTATGATTATTTTTTTATTTTACATCATATTTTAGGGTGTCAAATATCACTTGACGAATATACAACACTAATTTAAATCTAAATATGTAAAAATAAAAACAAAACAATTTAGTTGTTTTATTTTACACCATTATATTAGATTTATTATTTAAAAATAAAACATTTCTCCTATATACGGACACATGAGAAATATATAATTGTTAACCAGAAAAAGTACTCCATACGTTCATATGATTGAAAAAAAAAATAATGCTTACGTATCGTTTGCCGTAAGAATAGAAAACATAGTTATGATAAAGCCAACAAAATCGATAGTCCTTAAAATAGAACTTTCTAATAAAATATAATAATATTCAAATTTACGCAAATATAAATATAAAATATCCAATGAATGCTTTTTGACGTTCTATCTAATTATTTTAAAACTATATATCCAATTTTTTTTATCCCGTTGTATTCCTTTAAATAAATAAACTATTAATTTGTG